CACATCACATTGTTGGCTCATGTTTAACTTGTTGTCCACGAGGACTCCAAGTGGTCTAGCATTTCTGTAGTCTCAAATAATATGCTGTGTCCAGGTTGGTTCATCAGGTGCTCTACTATGGCTGACTTCTCTGATTGAGTTAATCTGCAATGCCTTTCATGTTCCTTGATTCGTGTTTGGGCAATGCTGCTGCGTTTGGTGGTCCCTATGTAGACTTGTCCACAGTTGCATGGGATACAGTAGACTCCTGCAGAGGTGAGAGGATCCCTCTTGTCCTTTGCCCAATCAGCACTGATAAAATCACTACCTGTCAGCTGCAAAAGGCCACCTTACTTGGATCTGCATGCATTATGTACCAATACATCACGCAATTTTGGGCACTTGTGAAGAGTCCAACGCGTGATCGAATACAAAAGCTAGCATAGTGGTCTTGTTTGCTGGGTATTCATCTTGTTGTGTGTCTAATGATGATGATGATGACCTGAGGTAAAGGTAAAGGTAGTCCCCTGACATTAAGTCCAGTCATGTCTGACTCTGAGGTGTGGTGCTCATCTCCATTTCTAAGCCGAAGAGCCAGCGTTGTCCGTAGACACCTCCAAGGTCATGATCTGAACCAGGCCCTTAATGCACACTCGCAGGCAGCCACCATGGCACTCCACCTGGATCCCCGATAGACAGCTATGGTTGCTTCCAGTCAGAGGAGGCGATCTTATGCATTCAGGACATAGGCAGCATCTTCTGCTTCGGCATTAGTTGCTGACCACAGTCCAGATTCCTTTCTCTGGAGATGCTTCTGGGGAAAGTATCTCAGGCATTCTGCATTACAACTCTTGGGAACTGACCTTCAGCCCATCTCGCATCTGGCCGGGATCCATAGAATCCTAGAATAATAAGAGTTGGGAGTGACCCCAGCGCTATTCACAGGCATCCATCTATCCAAATAGCCAAATCCAAACCTCTGTTTTTAGCCTGGCATCTTGCTTAGTTCTGTTCAACATCCTTATTAATGACTTGGGTGAATAATAATAATAATAATAATAATAATAATAATAATAATAATAACAACAACAATACAACTTTATTTATATCCTGCCACCATCTCCCCAAAGGTTTAGAGGGTGCGCTTATCAAGTTTGCAGATGACACCAAATCATAGAATCCTAGAGTTG